AGACTTATTTTGGTATTTTTATTCAGTTTGTTGATTTCTGCAGCAATAATTTTGAGGAGTCTGTCTTGTGAATAGTAGCAGTTTTTAATTGCAAAGATGGCGGCTTTTGAATCTGTATAAATTATTATGTTTTTAGTCTCGTTTTTCTCTACAAGTTTTAGAGCTTGTAGTATGGCTGTTAGTTCGGATCTGAAAACTGACAAGTTCTTTGGGTTTTTGATTCTTCTTTTTATTTCCATACTATCTTTAAGGATGAGAACTCCACTGCCAGAGGAGCCATTCTCCACCAGTGAGCCATCGGTGTATATCTGTATGGTCTCTTTGTCTGCTTTTTCAATCCTCTCCATAGCGAGGCTCCTGAGTAGTCCAGGGTGGTCGGCCCTTTTGGAGCATTCTTGCTCTAGATCCAGGTTGTAGGAGATTTCTGGTCTTTCTTTATATGGTGCATATTGGTTCTGGGCATTTCTATTTCTCGTGCTGTTTGGTAGTAGTTCCAGGTAGGCTAGGTGCATTGGGCTAAGTCTTTTGAGTCTGGTTTTTGGTTTCCATTTTCGTATAAATTCTCCGGTTCTGTGTGATTTTGGTGCATTTACTCTCTTGTATACACTTGGTTCTTTTTTTATGCGGTAGATGCGTTCCAGAGGAATCCGCATAAAAAAAAATCGCACAAAAAAAGACATACATTTATATGTAAAATGATGGATACGTTCCATTTATTAAAAAAATCGCATAAAACCTAAATAATGTTTTAAAATGCACCAGAAATCGCATAAAAAAGATTTATAAATAATAAGATTTAATTTTTTTCTCATCATATTTTAATAAATGGCACATATGTGTGTTAATAACAAAAACAAAACTTAATATGTAAAAAAAAACATAAACAAAACTTTATTTAAAATCATATTAAGAATGTTTTCATCATTATTCGCTGTCTGATAATGTGCGAACCCGTTTGTGGATTGGTGCAAGATCACTTTCATCACTTGAAGATAAAATTACGTCATCAGATCTACATGGTAATGCTTCTTTAGGAACTTCAGTGATTTTTTTTTTCTTTGACAAGGTAGTCAGTAATCAAACGCTGTGATGGCTTGACTAGTTCTTTGTAGAGTTCTCTGTAGCCAGACATACAAAATTTCAGATCACGTTGAAATTTTAAGGCGCGTTCTACATCATTATCATTTTGAATAAAACAATTTTCCAATTTACCGGAAAGTTGAAGGCCTTCCCGAAGTAATTTTTCGTCCAGTGGAGTAACATCTTCCAGTTCGCTATCTACACACACACTGTTTCGAAATCTTTAGTAATATCTACCATACTTTCCAAAATATCATCATCATTTAGGGCTTCATCCACAAGCAATTCTTCTATATCATGCTCGCCAAAATCATCAAAACCTTCCCCACCTATTTCCTTAGCAATTGAAATAATATCTGATGTTACTATTGTTGTTCTAATTGATTCATTTCTCTTTGATACGCATTCAGGCCAAGCAGCTTTCCAACATGCATTTAAAGTTTGTGATTTTATCTTGGCAATTGCTAACGCAACATGATCTACACAGTTCAAGATATTAAATTGTTTCCAAACTTCAGTAACTGTTATTGTATCGGATTCCAGTTTATCGAAAATGAATTGGAAAGTGAATTTTACATAATATTTTTTAAATGTTGAAATAATTCCCTGATCTAATGGTTGAATTAGGCTCGTTGTGTTTGGAGGGAAAAAAACTACCTTTATATTTGGATGTTCTAAGTTTGGATGACCTGGTGCATTGTCAAGAATTAATAAGATCTTAAATTCGAGACCCATCTCTTTCATATAATTTTCTACTTCGGGTACGAAGCATTTATTGAACCATTCAGTGAAAATAGCCGTTGTTACCCAGGCCTTCTTGTTTGCCATCCAATGTACGGGCAGTGTATTTAAGTCTTTTCCTTTTAATGCACGTGGTTTTAAAGATCGATTTACAAGCAGCGGTTTTAACATTCGATCGCCAGATGCATTGCTGCACAGCAATAAAGTAACTCGATCTTTAGCAGCTTTAAAACCACTGGCATTTTTTTCGGACTTTGAAATGTAAGTACGGGTTGGCATTTTTTTCCAAAACAATCCTGTTTCATCAGCATTGAAGATTTGATGGGCACAATATCCTCCATCTTTAATAATTTTAGCCAACTTTTCAGGATATTTTCTAGCAGCTTCTTCATCTGCAGAAGCCACCTCACCTTTTATTTTTAGATTATGAAAAAGAATGTCTTTTTATAAAACCAGTTAACCACCCTGTGCTGGCATAGAATTGTGGATTACTTTCACGTGAAGATGTAGATGGCTCTGATTCTTTTAACTCCTTGTAAAATTTAAGGGCTTTCATCTTGATTAAATGTCCATCTAACGGAATTCTTTTTTGAGTTAAATCTTCAATCCAAATTACGAGAGCCTTTTCTGTTTTTTCTATTAAAGTGCCTCTTGAATATGATGAAATTTTAGAACTCAAATTTGTACCAGATCTGACTGATCTTCTTATTGCCGCTTCATTTATTTTTATTGCTCTTATAGTAGATTCGCCTAAATTATAACGTTTACCTATTGCTGTTGATCTTTCTCCTTTCGCCAAGCAATCGAGAATTATAATTTTGGTTTCTAGCGAAATTGCACTTCTTTTTTGTTTTTTATTATTGTCACACATTTACTTTAAGAGGACTAAAAATTATAGAAAAAACTTAATGTACAATTACGCACTAAAATTATTCAAAAAAACTTACAATTTACTTGAGTAAATTTATCTTCCGGTTTTCGGTAGTAACCTTCTTTCACAAAGTTTTATTTTCTAATGCTTTCCAATATGCAGGCTTTTTTAATTAGTTTCATACAAAAACAAAATGCAGCATAAAAACACGCAATTTTAACGAGGTATTTTTGTTTTGTCTCTTTTGTTTTTAAGAACAAATCAAGAGAAAACATGTCAATAAAAGAAAAAAGAAATTTGTAACGGCAGCTGGCACGCCGGCGGGTTTTCAGTTTTGATTTCGGTTTTGCACGAGTTGTGTAAGACACCGGCAGGCGCGGAATAAAAGACATTGGAACTTCCCCTCTACTGTTTGTTGGATAACTTAACATACAACCAGGACGTTACAAAATTATTTCTTTGTATTGATTGCGTAATAGCAGAGTTGTAGTTGTTATTCCTTTTCGTTTTCAGAAAAAGTGAATCACCAAAAAAAAAAATTTCGAAATTCGAATAATTTTTTTTTCTTGCACCGCATAACTCCAAAACCGCATAAAAAAACCGCATAAAAAGAGAACGAAGTGTATATAATCGGCAAAGCCGATTTTTCTCCGGTGTGTAAGAGGCAACAAGTTGGCCTCAATCTCTGCAATTTTGGTTGGACAGGTGTTTCTGAATCCACATATGATTCTTGCAGCACTGCTCTGTAAATCAGGGAAGAACGTTTATTTATAATCAAGATTATATATGTGACAATATCGTTGCGGAATTTCTTGTTGTTCGATTTGAATGGTGAGGATGGGTTGAAACGCAGTCGTTGAGTGGCAAGTGAAGCATACAGTTAGGAATAATCAGGACACGTGATGGGGTTTGAAAATAAAAGGCAACTGGGTTGGAGGAAAGAAAGCTTGAGAAGGCGGAGCGGGTTTTGATTGTTAATTATCTGATCACATGGTGGTGATTGTACTTAGCTACGGGATGAGCAGAGGGAGAGAGGTCCAGAGCCGATGTCACCTCGTTGGGAGCGAAGGAGCAACTCTAGGTGTTGTTCCTATGAGAGCCAAATTTCTACTGACTATTCTTGCTTCTCGATTTAACACCACGAGTTGTCTTCCTTCCCATTGGTCGAAGGATGGAACGTGCCCGTTTTTCTATTGGTTGACCTATTTAGGGGATACTTTCTAATTGGTCCTGCGGCTTTCTTTGATGAAAGATACGTCCGGCCTGGTCGGGAAGTATTGTGTTAGCTCGACTCTTATTACTTCCGCGGTTATCAAATACGTCCGGTCTTGCTCCGGAAATATTGGGCGTCTCTCAAACTTTTATAACTTCTGCGGATACCAGATACCTCCGGCCTTGTCAGGAAGTATTGACTGTACAAGTTATTTATAAATGGGCCCGCTTGAAGCCTGCTTCCTATGTCTTGTTGCTACTTTCTTTCCTCCAGTTACCTTATTCTTTATTAAATCTTTGAAAATCATACATTGTACATGCATAGTGGGTCGGGGGTGCATACAATTATATACAAATTATGACATATATATAAACAGCGCTTAATAAAAGTTATTTGTTATTTTTTTTCTTTTGAAAGGATATAATTAAGATGATAATTCCTGTGATTCACCTATTAATAAAGATTGCAATATGCGAAAGTGTGGTTGCTACAGTGAAGTGTTGTGTATAGGTGTTTGCTGACACCTGCTTCAAGGATTCAGACTGCGGTGCCGACTCTTGCTGTATAGCTAACGGCAAGTGCAAGGCTGCCCTTAAGAAAGGTCAGTTCTCATCCATATAATACTGGACAACAACTATGAAACTCATGGACATAACTTAAGGAAGTCGTTGGTCGGTGGAAGGATGGTCTAAACTAGGGGTCGGCAAACTTTCGAGCCGGAAGACTCAAAAATTACAATTTACAAAATTTCAAAGTTTTTAAAGAGCCACAACATTTTTTCTTGCCAACAATAAATAGTACTCGCATAAATAATATTTACGTATGGAACTATATAAAGAGCTTTACATCCAAAGAGCCGCAGTTTGCCGACCTCTGGTCTATTCCAATAGTACAGAGTTCAACTCAACGATTTTAACCAGTTTTGGTTCCGGCGAGCTTTGCCTAGCAAAAACAATCCAATATATACATTTCTATTATCTAAAAACTTACAAGTATACCAGAGCCCTTATTGTTACCTATACTTACTGGTAAAGTTGAACTTTGTACAAGAATCAGGAACAATTAAAGCAATTTTACTTTTCAGAAAATAAAAAGTGTCTAATGCGGGATTTGAACCCGGGTCGTGACTGTCGAAAATTCATATCTTAGACCACTCGTCCACCAAGCTACACCAGTTTCTATGTTAAAGTGTATATTAAAGAGATAGTTGTATAAGTACACTGGTGTTATTCCAGGTGACGTCTGCCTGCCCATCCAGTTCGTCAAGCTATTCTGCAACTGCATCAAGGGAACCAAGTGCAGACAGGAAGAAGGAGCTGTACGTATAGTATTTATATATTAAATGTGTTAGCACAACATCTATAAAAAAACCTTTATGAATTAATAAAAAGGCATCTCTTCTTATCGTGAAAGTTGTGATGATGGCAAGCCATCAGTAACTTTCATTTACACGATAAAATTGTGAGATGTAAATAAGAAGTATGTAAATTTTGGTTAATCTAAAAGAATAGGAAAATTTGGTAAAATCACTTTTTTTTTCTCCCGAGATAGAATAAAGGTTTTGTTCTCCAAGATTTTGAGTCGCCTATCATTTCTTACTCTACAATATTTCATCATTGCAGTAAGGACAGTGGTGAATTATTTATTTATTTATTTTCTTATCCCTAGTATACGCGTGGTACAGGCCATGATAATCATGGTGGGTAGAAGTAGGCGACTGCTTTTACTGTAAGTGCACCACATGTCTACACATGTGAAAAGCAGTACGACTTAGCACTTACAAATCTGCCAGAGCCCCGTTTGGATACTTGCACTCACTGGTGGGGTTGAACTTTTGCAAGAATCGGAGGCCATTGGAGCATTTTTGTTGATTCTTAAAAAAGTGCACAATGCGTGAATCGAACCCGGGTTGTAGCGGTCGAAAACCAACGGTTTAGACCATCCTTGCAACGACCCCCCCTTTAAAAAATAAAACAGTCACTTTAAATAGTTAATGAATATAGTTTGTTAAATGACTTGAAAACTGAAATATTCTTATTTTACAATTTATATTTTATGTAATTCTACTGTCCACAAAAAAATGTAATTCTACTGTCCTTAAAGCTTATATCCATAGTTCACTTAAATACCATTTTTCTAAGATTCCACCCTTTAGTGTAGCTTATAAAAGCAGAATGATCCAATACAGTATTAGAGTTCTAAAGAAGCGGTCTGGTAGATTAAAAATTGGCGAAATCGCTGGGAGGGTTCACAACTGATGAGCTAAACCCTCCCAATATAACTGTTTCATCGCAGTAAGGACAGTAGAAGTTTGATTTATTTGTGAAAAGAAACATTCGCATCTTAATGTTTTCATTTGTTTTACATTGTGTTTGTTTGTTTCAGGGTCTGTTCAGTAATTTCCTGTGCCTCTGAAAACCTCCCAATAAAATAAATACCTGAAGATGAATTTGTTGCTTCCAATTTTTTTGAATATCTATATTAAAAAAAGGTTACCTCTCCCGTCAAAACAGACGTCAAAACAAGACACCATCTATTGACCGTCTTCACAAACTAGCGGTCTCAGGTCGGTGACAAAGCCACAACACCAGCTTTGGCAAACAGAAGCGTCAACCTAGAGACCATGGTTTCAGGATAATGGCCCTCGCCAGTCTAGGACGGAATTTATTCCATGAGATCCACTCCGACTGCACTTCAAAACACCACAGTTCCATATAAACAGCTGTAAGAATAGTAAACAAAGGCGAATCCTAAATGTAGTTGTGTTTGGAAAGAAATCTGAGAGAAATCAATTAAAAATGGTATTAGAAAAACTGGTTCTTGCATCATGACACGACGTTCGTAGTATAAGGCTATAGTCATTCTCAAATCAAGGTATTTTAGATCAAATCTATGGTCGAATTATAAGTGGATTTTTTTTTACTGGGAGGATATTGATTTATAAAAAGAATGGTCACCTTTTCCGTCAAAAATCTTTATACCTCTCTAGTGACTCATAAAATGCTTAAACATAATCTCACAATCGTCCATTCAATGGAATATTTCAGGAATAATTGAACTTTAAATTGTATCGAACTATTTCTTCACCACTAAAATTTACCATTACAGAATAGGAAGAAATATCATGTCAGATTTCCAAAATACAAATACACTACAACTTGGATAATTCAAACATCTTTAATTCGAATATTATCTTGGTACCTAGAATTCCATATGATTTTCAATTTCCGATTTTAATTCAAATTTGAGTGCTGCGCAGCCTGGAGTACAGGAGCTCCATCTATTATTTCTTACTGTGGTGAATCTGTATAAGACCGCTGGTCTTAATAAAGCTTTGTGTGTGTGTGTTTTTAATTGAAATTTTTGGATAATTCGAATTTTGTTTTGATCCCTTGGGCTTCGAATTATCCAATTTCGACTGTGTTAGAGTCTTAACTGTCCAAACTGCTGGGAAGATTCATTACTGATGAGTCAAAATTCCTGTCCCAATATTTTCTATCACAGTGAAAGCCGTAGGAAATTATTTCATTATTATTATTATTTATTCAAGTAAAACATAGGTTCCTGGAGCCATGTACAGAAGTCACCAACTACCAGGGCTTCTTGGTTTTATTTACAATGTCAGTGGAAGTCCAATTACTGAGGTGGGCAGATTTCTTTCTTGGAATATTATTTTATCAAGTAAAACCTAGGTTCCTGGAGCCACGTACAGAAGTCACCAACTACCCGGTCTTCTTGGTTTTATTTACAATGTCAGTGGAAGTCCAATTACTGAGGTGGGTAGATTTCTTTCTTGGAATATTATTTATTCAAGTAAAACCTAGGTTCCTGGAGCCACTTACAGTAGTCACCAACTACCCGGGCTTCTTGGTTTTATTTACAATGTCAGTGGAAGTCCAATTACTGAGGTGGGCAGATTTCTTTCTTGGAATATTATTTATTAAGGTAACCCAGTAGGTTCCTGGAGCCACGTACAGAAGTCACCAACTACCCGGGCTTCTTGGTTTTATTTACAATGTCAGTGGAAGTCCAATTACTGAGGTGGGCAGATTTCTTTCTTGGAATATTATTTATTTAGTTAACCCAGTAGGTTCCTGGAGCCACGTACAGAAGTCACCAACTACCTTCTTGGTTTTATTTACAATGTCAGTGGAAGTCCAATTACTGAAGTGAAGCCAGACTGATTTCTTTCTTGGAATATTATTTATTAGTTAACCCAGGTTAGTGGAGCCACGTACAGAAGTCACCAACTACCTTCTTGGTTTTATTTACAATGTCAGTGGAAGTCCAATTACTGAGGTGGGCAGATTTCTTTCTTGGAATATTATTTATTTAGGTAACCCAGTAGGTTCCTGGAGCCACGTACAGAAGTCACCAACTACCCGGGCTTCTTGGTTTTATTTACAATGTCAGTGGAAGTCCAATTACTGAGGTGGGCAGATTTCTTTCTTGGAATATTGTCACAAAGTACTTTAATTCAACTATTTTGTAGATATGTAAATGTTCTAACTATTAATTATTTTTCTTTTTTGTTTGGATCTATGTAAATATTTGACGTCAATAGTTGCGCCTTCTAATATGTAAATTTTTGAGAATTAGTTTTTATTATTAAGCTAACTGTCTAGAGTAAGATAGAATAAAGCTTATAATGGTTGTTGGCTTTTTTTCTATTTGACAGTGTGTTGAATAAAACTTACTTTTGAGTTTGCTTCGTGATTCCGTGGCTTACCAGCGACAGAATTAAAGAAAAGATTGCAACAATATTATTTATTTAGGTAACCCAGTAGGTTCCTGGAGCCACGTACAGAAGTCACCAACTACCCGGGCTTCTTGGTTTTATTTACAATGTCAGTAGAAGTCCAATTACTGAGGTGGGCAGATTTCTTTCTTGGAATATTATTTATTCAGGTAACCCAGTAGGTTCCTGGAGCCACGTACAGAAGTCACCAACTACCCGGGCTTCTTGGTTTTATTTACAATGTCTGTGGAAGTTCAATTACTGAGGTGGGCAGATTTCTTTCTTGGAATGTTATTTATTTAGGTAACCCAGTAGGTTCCTGGAGCCACGTACAGAAGTCACCAACTACCCGGGCTTCTTGGTTTTATTTACAATGTCAGTGGAATTCCAATTACTGAGCTGGGCATATTTCTTTCTTGGAATATTATTTATTTAGGTCACCAAGTAGGTTCCTGGATCCTCGTACAGAAGTCACCAACTACCCGGGCTTCTTGGTTTTATTTACAATGTCAATGGAAGTCCAATTATTGAGGTGGACAGATTTCTTTCTTGGAATATTATTTATTTAGGTAACCCAGTAGGTTCCTGGAGCCACGTACAGAAGTCACCAACTACCCGGGCTTCTTGTTTTTATTTACAATGTCAGTGGAAGTCCAATTATTGAGGTGGACAGATTTCTTTCTTGGAATATTATTTATTTAGGTAACCCAGTAGGTTCCTGGATCCTCGTACAGAAGTCACCAACTACCCGGGCTTCTTGGTTTTATTTACAATGTCAATGGAAGTCCAATTACTGAGGTGGACAGATTTCTTTCTTGGAATATTATTTATTTAGGTAACCCAGTAGGTTCCTGGAGCCACGTACAGAAGTCACCAACTACCCGAGCTTCTTGGTTTTATTTACAATGTCAGTGGAAGTCCAATTACTGAGGTGGACAGATTTCTTTCTTGGAATATTATTTATTTAGGTAACCCAGTAGGTTCCTGGAGCCAGTACAGAAGTCACCAACTACCCGGGCTTCTTGGTTTTATTTACAATGTCAGTGGAAGTCCAATTACTGAGGTGGACAGATTTCTTTCTTGGAATATTATTTATTTAGGTAACCCAGTAGGTTCCTGGAGCCACGTACAGAAGTCACCAACTACCCGGGTTTGTTGGTTTTATTTACAATGTCAGTGGAAGTCCAATTACTGAGGTGTACAGATTTCTTTCTTGGAATATTATTTATTTAGGTAACCCAGTAGGTTCCTGGAGCCACGTACAGAAGTCACCAACTACCCGGGCTTCTTGGTTTTATTTACAATGTCAGTGGAAGTCCAATTACTGAGGTGGGCAGATTTCTTTCTTGGAATATTATTTATTTAGTTAACCCAGTAGGTTCCTGGAGCCACGTACAGAAGTCACCAACTACTTTCTTGGTTTTATTTA